AGTGGTAGGTATTCAGCATTAAAACACAAGTTCTCCATCTTTGACTCCAGTGGTCCATTTTGTGCCAGAACCTTCAGTTTCTATCCATGAGTGTCTTTTAGGTAGCAGTTCTAAAATCAGACACGTGCAGTGGGTCCATCCCCTGTCATTCTCCACGGGATGTATCGTGGAGAGTGGATGCTGCTTTGATGAGACTGCTGAGTGCCGCATGTTGTTTGCTCCACAGCCTCTGCAGTCCTTGTCCCTGGCTGACTCAAAACTCAAGACTGAAGTCACCATCATCATCAATGCCCTGGGAAGCAACACCTCCCTGACCAAAGTGGACATTAGCGGGAACGGAATGGGAGACATGGGAGCGAAGATGCTGGCCAAAGCACTGCAGATCAACACTAAGCTCAGGTAGGGAGATCCTGCCCTCCCTGCTCATGAGGAAGGCTTGGAGCAGATTCTGAACAGCAAGCATTGCGGAGCCGCTGGGCCCAAGGGGACCTGAGCTTCCCATGAGGCCAACTGAGAAGAGGTGACAATGTCAAGACTTCTGTCAGAATAATGAGGAGGGTGTTCCCAAATTTAGACATCGTGATTCTTTCGGTCTGTTGTCTTATAGTTCTATTGTAAAGGTAGAACCTGACTGAGAACTGCCACGATTTCCTATTTCACATCAGTGTTGATAGCTGACCAGTGTGTGGGTAAAGGCAGTGAAAAGCTACGAGGGTTTTGTAGGCAGCACTAAGTGAGCAGAGCCCATGCTTTGCTGTGAGCGCAAGGTCTTAACCCCCTTGCTCATCCCTGCCAATATAAAGACTTAGAAACAAGGGGCACGAAAGGTCTGCTGGTTCAAAACCAGACTCACACTGGGTGCTAGCTGTTCTCTTTAGCAGTTTTATTCCATGTTTCCTAAGTGTGGCTTTTCTCAAGGACTAGATCCACTGTTAACTCGTTGCCATCCATCATTCGGAGAGATTGGAGTTGCTACCTAGGTCAACAGTCTGGTGAATGAAGAGTTAATTCACATTGCTCCTCAAGGGCTCTTTTATGAAGTTTTTCTATTCTCTGGCATAAAAGTCTGAGTTTTCTGTCTAAACTGAAGCCAAAAGTCAAAATCTGCAGCAGTTTCTTTGAAGGTCAGTATGTGTGTAAAGAAGGTCATCGAGATTAGGAAGGAAAGGCAGTGAAAGTTGTGAGGCTGGGATCATCCAGACAAATAAAAGCTATTTTATGTGTCAGGGTGAACTGACAAATCCTAAATATCTCTGAAGTATACACATTCTGAAGGTAAAGTAGTATTTTTCTCTCCAAATACATTTTGTGTTTAAAAAGCAAACAAAACTATAAGCAAACTATAAACAGGTAACATCAGTAACATTACCTGTTTATAGTAACTGATGTTTTGCCAGCAGAGTGAGGAAATTCCTAGGATTACTAATTAAGCCATGTCAGGGAAGTAATGAAAACACAAGGAACTATGACAGATTCTCTCTAGTGTTTTAGAAACACTAGTGTTTTACTGTTTGCGGGGGAAAATCTCAGTAGCTGAAATTCTTTATATTGGGCATGGAACTGGTTAGCATCTTTTGTAAATAGCTTCCACCTCAGACATAAATATGAGAATATTATTGGGAGAATATCAGAGAAATATTGGAATTTAGAGTTTTCTGTCTAGTGAAAGTTAGATAACATAATAGTAAGTTAATATATGTGCTATTGCTTTTAAGTACAGTTTTTCCACACTACTTGCATGGTAAATGTGTTACGAATATAATATTGGGGGAAATGCTTATCCTTGTTTTGTTAGAAATGAAGATGAACATTATTCCTTGCTCATATAATGTGGCTGTACTGAAATATCTAGACAGTGCTGTCTATAAGAGGTTTATATTCAATGTGAGAATCATTTTCTCTAAGTGTCTGATCATTTATGTGATTTGGTTTTCAAACAGGACTGTAATATGGGACAAGAACAACATCACTGCACAAGGCTTTCAGGATATAGCTGTTGCTATGGAAAAGTAAGTTTGAATTAGGATTTCTTTCTAGGAAAATAAAAAAACAAAACCAATGGTATATGTATTATCTGTGGGGTAATAGAAGCAACTGTTTATTGGGGATCAGAAGATCTGGGTCTGAATTTAGTCTACAGCTAACCAGCTATGGGATCTTGGAAGACATTGAATTTTCCCTGGTGGGAGTTTCCTTATGTATGAAATGAGGGCACAGATGCCTGTTCTGCTAAAAACACCACACTGTCGTGAAAATTAAACAAGGGACTGTGTGACACTTGCCTTGTTTCCTTTCCCCTTTGTGGTTTCACAGTCTATACTGGGTCTTATTCTTTTGCCTATTGTGACACTGGTGAGAAGAAAGCTGAGGTCCAGAAAATAAAGGTGAAGTTGATAAATGGTAAGCCCAGGGCTAAGTTGTGTCATTACTGTGAAAGACTTTCTTCATTACTTCAGTAACTAAAGCCTGCAGTTATTATTTATTGTTGAATTTACATTCCCAGTAAACTAAATGAGAAAATAATACTAGACCTAGTTGAAAGTAAAACTAGGAATGTGGTTCTTTCTGGGCTTTTCAGTCCTCATATTGTATTATAAAGGCAGAAGTGAACAAAGCAGATTTATACCATTAAAAATGAGAGGCTATAAAATATGGGTGAAAAATAAGGGGCCGATAGCATAGAAGCCGTTTCCCTGGGAAAGGGGAGGAAATGCTCGTTATTTTGTGTTTTTTCAGATTCCTTGTATATATGAGGCCTCCCAGGAGGGCCTCTCATGCCTGACATGGTATTGTGGTACAACCCTAGACTAGGAATCAGGAGTCCTTCATTCAGTCTTCAGTTCTGTCACCCACAAGCCTATGATCTTGATCAAGTCATTTAATCTCTCTGATTAATTCTTTTTTCATGAAGTGAGAGGATTAGGATAAATGATCTCCAAGTCCCTTCCATTTCTAAATCCTGTGGCTCTACTTTAGCCAGGAGTTCAAAGTTACTGCCACTACAAAATCACAGAGACTCATCTCTCAGCGCCTTCTCTGTACTGACCCCAGGCCATCACTAAATAGGGGTTAAGCAGCTTAGACCATCAGTTTAGCATTGCCACTGCATGATTGTAGACCCCCCTATGGTTACTCCTGTTGCACCACAAAACCCCAAATGGAAACATTTATTTACACTGCATCTGGATGCTGACAGCACAGTTGCCACCCTGATGTTGTAGACGGCCAGCTCAGACTGGTGTTTGGAAGAAGCCAGGAGCATGGACAACCAATACTCAACATTTCCAGATAGACTGTCAGACTCCCTTGATCACAGTCGATTACGTATGCTCTGCTCCAAGATGCCAATGCTTCAAAATCACATTTGGTTTAAATAAACTATGCTGGTCTGTAACATGATAAAAATTGGATAAGGGAAAGAAGACTTGTGAAGGCCATAGAAAAGACATATTGTCTCTTAGTTTCATTTGGCTGGATTTTCTGAAGGCAAACAAAAACAATTTTGCTAAAACAAAGCTAAGTTAAAAATCAGAGCTATAGAAATTGCAACTTGCTGTTTGTCTGATTATTTTACATGAAGCTACCTTATAAGTTGGACTGGGTGAATTTTTTTTTTTTTTCAGTAGTCCATCTAGACTGCTACTATTAAGTTGATGGTTTTATTATTTATTCCTTATTAGTACCTTAATTTAGGAGTTAGTTGCTAATTTATTCTTCCAATAGATGTCATCTAAATATGCCCCAGAAGCACACTGTGAGTGCTGCTGATAGTTTAGAGTCCTAAAACAAGGCAGCTGACTGTGCAATTTTAATGTCCCAGTTGCTACCAAGTAGCCCAAGGTGAAGTTGATCTCTTCCTGAACACCGTGTTGTAGAAATGGACAGATGCATTTTGGGGTGGAGGACAGAAGTCATCTCTAATACTGGAGTTTGTGGTAGGTGAGCAGGTGTTAATGGTCATTTCAGCACATAGCAGTTTGCAGCAGAGTCGGGATCAAAGGCCAGGGACCAGATTCAGAGTTCTGTGTGTTTTCCTCACACAAAAATGGCTCACTCCTGCATGTTTGTGTTTAATAGGCCTGCCAGTAGCAATGGGATAATATACAGCGATCAATAGTTGCTTCACTTGGTTTCTAGAGCCTGGTGGACAGCAGCTCTTGAACTCCAGCTGAAAGGACCTGCAGAGGTCAGAGTGTTTAGCCAGGCAGCAGACCCTTTCCTAGCAGCTTTAAAAGAGACAATCCTATGTATGCTGGACCTCATCATTTAATGGAGCCCAGAAACTTAACAGACTGTTTTGTGGGTGCTAATGGCTTGCTTTGCAAGCAAATGTTTTGTTTTTATTTCTGTTTTTCCTTCTACCAGTTTGGGGCTGGTTGTCACACATAATCACTGTGGGGACCCAGGTACAGTCAGGTCTATTGGTTACTAAAACCCATGTAGCGAGTTGATGTTGGACTTTCCCTAGGCTTGCCCTCTGTTCATCTTTTCAATCCTAGTGTGAAAATTCTGTCCTTGATGGAATCCAAAACTAAAAGAAAAACAACAAAACTGCATTCCTCAAAGTTGTGTCAGTTTTGTAGGTAGTGTGAATTAATGTGGTAGCCTGTGGTATTGGACCTGTGGTTATTACAAAGGACAATCTGCAATCTAGTGGTCTAAATGGTCTGGTGGTTTGGAATTTTCTAAGCTACTCTTACAGCTATCCTTTTGGATTTTTTTTAAAAAAAGAGTACTAATTAAGGTAATAGGAAGTTATTTTTAAATAAGTATATTACTTTCTCCTTTTTCTAGGAACTACACATTAAGATTTATGCCAATTCCTATGTATGATGCTTCTCAAGCCCTAAAAACAAACCCTGAAAAAACAGAAGAGGCTCTGCAAAAGGTATTAAAGAATCAGTAGCTTAATTATAAGCAATTCACATTTAAATTGTGGTTATGTTCCTGAAGGTATTAACAATACTTTGTTATTTTACAAAGTTTTTTTATTTTATTTTATTTTTTTCACGTTGTCTTGCGTTCTTGTGACCACAGCTGGGGTAATGCATGACTGGGGGAGGAGTAAACTAAGGAACAGTAAAGCTTGTCATGCAATTTAAGTGGAATAAATTAACATTCTTACAACATCAACATGTCGGAGCTTAAGTATAGTTAAAGTATAGTTAACTTCCTGATTGGCTGTCGGAGAAGTGTGTGGAACTGAATATCAGTTTGCACAGCTTCCCTCCTCTTCATCCTCAACAGATGGATCCTTCTCTTCTGTCTTCATCAAGAAATTTAGTGTATTCCTGAGCTCTCACTTTACCACCCTCATCTATAAATGTATATAAATCCACACCCATTCCTGCCTCTGTACTGGCAAACTCAGAGGTACCTTCCACTTCAAAGCCCAGCCATTCTGTGGTGCATTTGACTCCCTTATTCTGCCCTGTGCTAGAAACCTCTGAATCATTCCCTTGCTCTCCCATATCTTCATCCTTCTCTTTCTATGGCCACCTTTCTCTGCATTTTAGGTGTGCTCAAATATTTCCCATCTGAAGAAGCCTGCTCCACTCACACTGTGGTATTATTTGAGGAATCTTTGAACTTTTCTTCCCGCTTTGTTCTTTCTCCTTGGTGATGTCATCCAAAAGACCACCAAGATGGCTAAATTTTAGAAAGGATAGCTTCATTAATGATGATTTGCAAACTGAGAAGAGACAGCCTCTAGTGTGTGCTGAATGTGCTCCTCTCTTCAAAGAAGGGAAGGGCAGTTTGGGTTTTATGCCTCACAAGGCCTGCATCATACAGTCGAGTTGTAC